GATGAAACTTTTTAAAATGTATATATATATATGAGTTTTAATCATATCAAAGTCACGCACTATAAGGCATGCAATACTATGAGTTGATGAAACTTTTTAAAATGCTAAAATGGTAGTGGAAAATTATTATTCCACTAGCACATCTCCACATGACCTACAGAGAAAGTAAATTGTAAAAGTCTTATCTTTCCAATTCTTGGAAAAATGCAGGATTCTAAGCTCTAATATGATTGGAAGGAGTCGGTGAGGGCAGTTAATCCAAGCAAGTCAGTGAAAAAAATAAAAATAAAATTGCCATCAACTTATATCTACTACATATATCCCATCACAATCACCAAAAGCCCAATGCAATAACCTAGACCAGTCAGTCCTTAATGCCCTTGATAAATCACCTTTTCGGATGCTCTGCCCTACGCACATACCATTCCACTAAAAAAGTGAATTGTTGGATTGGAATTTCATGTTACTTTTTTTCTTTTTCTTTTCTTTTTCTGAAATTTATGTTACTTGAAAAGCAACTTTTCGCGGGTAAGTTAAATGGTAGTGTTTGGAGACAGAATTGATGTTTTGAATTTGAGATGGAATAAAATTTAATTCAAAATTTTAACTAAACTTATTTCAATGTCTAATTCAAATTACGAATTCGATACTCCAAACAGTAATTATTATTATTATTTTCACGTATTGTTGGATTTTGGATGTAATATTGTTGGATGGTATTGAATCCAAATGCGAAATGGAGGAGATTCGAGTCTAATGATACCCTTTTACAAGAATATCTTTTTGTTACTCTCTTTTTTAAGCAAACTGCAAGCATTCTATGTATGTCAATAACGAACTATATTTATTCATTACTAAGTAAGAGTCGTCGTTTAATACGAGTGAATGGAGTGCAAGCAAAAAAACCATAATGCATTTGAAATAGCAAGACCTAAGAATACGTCGATGTACACAATGTCACACATACATAATTACATATGTATTAGTGTGTGTATCAGTGTATATATGGGCATGTTTTAAGTTCCAAAACAGCAGTCAGTTTGGCATGTAAACTAGGTATACAAAGTTTTGGACCCGTGACTGACCGGTTAGATCAAGCTTAAACTTAGAAACATACAAGAGAGTGAGGTAAGGGGACCACATTGTGCATGTGTGGATTGATTGGTCCGTAGCCTTCTAAATCTAGGGCACCCCACATGTTTGTTTACAAAGACAAGAGATGGTTGTGTGTGTTTTACTACGTGGTAGTGGGGGGACCACCTTTTCAACATTTCTACCTCTTCAGTAGTGCCCTTAATTAATTGTCCCATTCGATACTCCCACAATCAAAGGCCTTGCATGGGTCCTCTCTAATTATGTGACATTGTTGGTAGTAGTATCTAAGTTTGTTAAATGATGTTAGTTTTATTATATATATCCACAATATCAAACTTTGAATTGTTATACTGACTATGTCTGAATTGTTGTTAACCATCCCATCATTACTTTACATTCAATGATCGAAGACCCACAGTTTTTTTTAAAAAAAATAAGTTTAAATAAACTTCAGTATAATTTCCTAACCAGGTTTTGAATAAAAATTTATGGAATAATTTCAGTTACCTCTCTTGAAGTTAGGTCTAATTATAGGCAGTACTCTTAATATTTCAAATATTATACCGATCTCCGTTAGATTCCGGTAGAAATTCAAGTGAAAGTACTAATATACCCTCCATTATTATATTAATATAAAATATTATCAAATTATTTTAACAAATGACCATTTGTACCCTTGAGCTTAGATTTTGATTTTGATTTTGATTTTTTATTTTATTTATTTATTTTTTCCTAGGAAACAAAAACAAAACAACCAAACAACCTCATGCTACCTTTATGGAACAGATGATCAATCAAAGAACAGGGGATGGTTTCTAGGTTTAGAGTTTGATCTTCTGGATGCATGTGGGTTCAATTGGCCAAAGTGAGCTGAACAATCCCATAGGTAAAGTAGTTTTGGAAGGAAGACATATGGATAGAGAACAAGAAGCAAGCAAGGACCGGGGTTTCGAGAACAAAGCACAGAAAAAAATTACGAAGCAAACCGGGCCACTGGATCTCTCCTGTCACTTGTTTCTCTTTCTCTTTCTCTTTCTCTTTCTCTTTCTCTTTCCCACCTCTCTGGCGAAGAACATGTGGTCCAACCCGCTAGCCCTCTCTTTGCCGTCCTCGGTTTCCTCTTCTTCCCATTCACCTGGTCCGCACCTGGAGGCCCTCATCACCGCCGAGATCGCCACCGCCTAACCCCAGCAACGACGGCCTGGAAATTCCTCTCCGTCTTTGAGAAATCTTCCCCGTCTTCGTGACCCAAGTAGAGACCCAAATTGGGTTTCTTTGTTTCTTTTTTTTTTTTTGTTATCAGGAACTCCTATATATGGCCTTCCCTTTGACAAAATGTTTAATATGGTAATTACCTAAAAAAAAAAAAATGTTTAATATGGGTTTTCTTGAAATTCATTGTTTACTTTTTGGTGTTTGTTAATAAATAGACAAACATATGGCATTAGAGAGATCTTGTATTTAGAATTTTAGAGAGAAATTCTATATATAGACATGGTAGTTTAGAGAGACTCATACAGAGGAGAGAGGAGATGATATAGTATATCTCTCTCTCTCTCTCTCTCTATATATATATATATAGACATAGTAGGTCATTTTGTCTTTATATTGAGGGCATTAAAGAATTTTAAATCAAAAGTTAGGGTGTAAATGTCTTTGCAACCTTTTTAAGGACAAATGTGGTATTTCACATTGAGAAGAGGCTGACATCATTAAAAGACGGCGTTGACTACTAACAGGAGGGGCAGACTGTTATGACGGAGCTAACTTGGAGGGAGGTCGGTGTAATATTTGAAACGTTAGGAGTACTGCCTGTAATTAGGCCTAACCTGAGGAGACGTAGGTGAAATTATCCCAAAATTTATTCATAAAAGTATATCTCAATACACTTCATTTGTCTCAATTTAAATGCTGCTTATGGGGAGTAGTGATTTTTAAAGGGACAGGTAAGACATACATTGTCTGTCGAAAAAATTACTAACTTACTCATTTAAGTTTTAAATATTTAAATTTAAAATTTTAAACTTAAAAGACATATATATAGAAAGATGTAAAATATATTATTTGAAAAAAAAAACGTGAATTATTATTTTGAGACAAAAAAGAGAAAAAAAAAAGTATGACGCTTATTTTAAAATGAAGGAAATATATATATAGAGTCAGATTAAAGCTTGAAACACTACTCTATAATGGCTTATTATCCATTTGATAGAAAATTGCACTTTTTATTTGCATAGTTGTGGAGGGAAAAATCTCCCTTCAATAAAAGCAATCCACGTCATCATAAATATAACTTTATCTTCAATAAAGGTCAAAGCCCATTTCGTCAGAAGCTCAAGTTGAGTTGGTCATAAGCCCAAAACTCCCGCTATCTAACTACGGGCTTTACTAAAGCTCGGATTAAGGCGTTAGCAGGCATGTGTACCAAGTTAGATGCGGCCCAAATCCATTTAAAGAAGGAACCGGTCCTATAAGGAAAAGGAGTCATCAAATGAAGTAAGTTCTGTGTAAGGAAAATCCGGAAGGGAAGAATTATAAAGAGGAAAGAATTCTATTTGCAAAGAAATTGATATATGGAAAGAATTAGAGGACAAGCAACGCGAGTCCTACCATAATCCTTCCAACTTTTGTATATAAATAGAGGCCCAGACCTCCAATAAAGGGATCCAAGCAATTTTACGCTTTTCTAGATACTGTTCTTATTTATTTTTACTATTATTGAGTGTGTTGTACTATTTTTCTCAATTGTTATTGGTTGAGTAGAATTTTGCACTTACAATAGTAATTTATTTTTTTTTGGCACTATTTGCACAGTATTTTTTTATTTTTATTTTTTTTGCACTATTTGCATAGTATTTTTTTATTTTTATTTTTTTTGCACTATTTGCATAGTATTAATAGAATTAAGAAAAGAACTCAAAAGTCAAATGAATGTAGAAGATTATAAGAATGAACCTTTTTTTTAAAGGGTTTTGTGTTGGATTCCCATTTCCCCACATATCCTCGATTAAATGTGCACTGGGTCCCATAGTCCACAACCCTATCATTATGCCATTACCTACTTCACCTCTGGTATTAGCGTTCTAGAACTTTGGGAGTTCAACATGCAAAACCCTAGTCAAAGGGCAACTGTGGGCCCAATATCAATTGACCAATTTTTTTTTTAGTATTTAATTTAATTTTATTTCTTCTTAATAATCAAATGATTTAGGACTTATTTTTATATTTTATGTTTACTTTAAAAAAAATTGTACAACACTTTTGTGTAAACATTACAAATGATATTTTTCATATATTTAAAGAAATACAAATGTGTTCTAACAGTATACTGTAACATAGTAACCATTTAATAATTTCTCAAATAAATTGAGAAATTGATCTTCAGTCATGTATTTTTTTTTATTTACATCAAAATATGTGTTAAAATACGGAGTTGAGAAATTACTAATATAATTTTTATTGAGATTATGTTTTGTTGGTGTTTGGTAAAAGTTTACATTGACGTTGAGAGCAAGTTCATCGGATATGTAAAATAATTTATCAAAAATTTATGAATAAATTATTTTTATTAAATTTTAATTTTTTTTTGTAAATTCTTTATTATAATCGAACATCAAAAAATAAAAAAATAATTTTTAAAAAATATTTTAGGAACCTAAATACCAAACACACTACTACTACACGTCCACATCCCAAAATCTTAATTGAATTTATATAATATACCATCTGACATCCCACTCCGAGATTCTCTACTTTTTGGCGGGTAATGCTCTCATTTACTAATAAAGTAATAAAGTATATACGGAGTACATAATAAAACATATACTAATTCCCGCTTTTTCTCTTTGTCATTCACGGGCACTAATTAAAATAGTACCCTCAACAAAAATTGGAAAAAACAGAGCAAAGCTGGGTGTATTTTTTTGTTGGGTTCCCAAATGTCATTTTTTTAGAGAGAGAGAGAGAGAGAGAGAGAGTGATAGTGAGACTGAATGAATTGATAGAGACAAAAATTCTTTTCTTTTACTGTTTATGGTTTGGTTTATTTTCTTATACAATAGTAAAAGATTAGGGTTTTTTCACTGTGATTGCCAGACATCTTTGGTCCTTTTGAGAAGCTAAAATGTGTTGTTAGGGTTTCTAGAGGGCGGAAAATTTCTGGGTACAGTGTAGATGTATATTTGAATACCCATTTGCGTCCTTTTTCATGGGTTTTCTGTACAGTACCTTCAAATGTGAAGTTTGTGAGATGTTATCTAAACATACACAAGCAAATCTGTAGTTTCAGATTGTTCAAATCTCTAATCAGAGTCGAGTTTGGATCTTTGAAGGAAAGTTTTCAGATTGCACCGAGCCACATTGTTCCTATTAAAGGATATGGTAAGAAAATGCTGAACTTTCCATGGTTAGTTATGTGAAAATGACTTTGTTTCTGCAGTTTATTTCACACATTTCTTATTTTCGTTCAGTTTGTGTTGCTTGAAGTGTTTTCCTGAAGCACTTTTTTATTTTCTCATTTTTCTGAACATCCACATCACTTAGCTATGGTCTCTTATAGATTTAGTCCTCAAGGGTTTTGAACTCTGTTTTTAAGAATTGGTTGCTGAACAAATTGGAGTTTTTGGTTTTGAATTGTGTTTTTGGGATGTTGAATGATATATAACCCAGTTGGATTTCTTCAAATTTTTGGAGTTGAGAGCTTGAAAAAATAGTACTTTGGTTCTTGACATTGTGCTTGTATAATACTACTTGGGCGAAGCCATTTTGGGGTTAGTATGAGGTACTTTAGGGTTCTGGTGGTTTCCCTATTTTTGGTATCTGCCATGGGGCAACTTCCTTCACAGGACATTTTGGCACTGCTTGAATTCAAGAAGGGAATCAAGAATGACCCAACTGGTTTTGTGCTCAATTCGTGGAATGAGGAGTCCATTGACTTCAATGGGTGCCCTTCCTCTTGGAATGGGATCATGTGTGATGGTAGCAATGTTGCAGGGATTGTCCTTGATAATCTGGGATTATCCGGGGATGCTGATTTGACTTTGTTTTTGAACCTTACAAAGCTTGTAAAACTCTCCATGTCAAACAATTCGATGACCGGCAAAGTCCCTGAAAATGTAGGTGACTTTAAAAACCTTGAGTTTCTGGATGTTTCGAACAATCTATTCTTCTCATCTTTACCACCAGCTTTTGGTAAATTGGGGAGCTTACGGAACCTCTCATTGGCGGGGAACAACTTCTCTGGTCCTATTCCGGAATCAATTTTCGGGCTTACATCTCTCCAGACTATGGACTTGAGTCACAACTCGTTTTCCGGGTCACTGCCGTCATCTATTACAAGGTTGACAAGTTTGGTGTATCTTAACCTTTCTCTCAATAGGTTCACAAAGAAAATCCCAAAAGGATTTGAGGCGATGACAAATCTTCAGGTGCTTGACTTGCATGGCAACATGCTTGATGGAAGTCTAGATGAGGAATTCTTTCTCCTTTCTAGTGCAATTCATGTTGATTTGAGTGGGAATTTGCTAGTGACTTCCGATTCTATGAAGCAGAAAGTTCAACTGGGTATCTCTGATACTATTAAGTATCTAAATCTCAGCCACAACCAGCTTACTGGATCACTGGTAAGCAGTGGGGAGCCACAATCATTTGGGAACTTGAAGGTGCTGGATTTGAGCTTCAACCAGCTGTCTGGAGAATTACCTGGGTTTGATTTTGTTTATGATCTTCAGGTTGTCAAGCTCAGCAACAACAGATTTTCTGGTTTTATCCCTAATGACCTTTTGAAAGGAGATTCTTTGGTTCTAACCGAATTGGATTTGAGCGGAAACAACCTCACAGGTACTTCTATGATTAGGAATTTATCTTTATAAAATATCATTTTTTTAAAAGTGAATGATTTAATCTTAAAGCTAATATAGAAACATCTTAATTTTTTTTAAGGCGAATACTGTTGCTTTGTGATTGATAATTCAAACTTCCATTTTACTTAAACTGGTCTATTTGGCCACCGCTACAATGACTGGTCCTGTGTGATTTGGTCTGTGCTATGCCTCTTATATTCTAGTTCATCTTTCAGGCCCAATAAGCATGATTACGTCAACAACTTTGCGAATTCTTAATCTCTCCTCAAATGGGCTTTCTGGTGAACTTCCATTGCTGACTGGAAGCTGTGAAGTACTTGATCTGTCAAAAAACCAATTTGGAGGAAATTTAACCAAGTTAGCAAAATGGGCAAACATTGAATTCCTTGATCTCAGCGAGAACCGTTTGACAGGGTCCATCCCTGAGATGACTTCACAATTTTTGCGGTTAAATTACCTCAACCTATCCCATAACTCTCTTAGTAGTTCACTCCCAAAAGTTATTATGCAGTTTCCTAAACTCACGGTCCTTGATCTTAGTTTCAACCAGTTTAATGGACCTCTTCTAACTACACTGTTAAGCTTGCCCACACTGCAAGAACTTCATCTTGAAAATAATTTGCTTGTAGGAAGTATTGACTTCACTCCCAAAAGTATTGGATCGACAGAACCCAGTCTCCGGGTTCTTGATCTTTCTCATAACAGGTTGAATGGTTATTTTCCAGGTGAATTTGGATCACTGACTGGCCTTCAAATGCTAAGTCTTGCAGGGAATAATTTCTCTGGTTCTCTGCCAACATCCATGACTGAAATCAGTTCCCTGAGTTCATTAGATATATCCCAGAATCATTTCACAGGTCCTTTGCCGAATAACCTGTCAAACAGTCTCGAAAGCTTTAATGCATCATTCAATGATCTGTCTGGGGTTGTCCCAGAGAATCTGAGGAAGTTTCCACAATCTTCTTTCTATCCTGGAAATTCTGGATTACAATTTCCAAATGCTCCTCCTGGATCGAGCAATTTTCCTGTTGGAAATCCCAAGGGTAAACCGATCAAGACTATAGTCAAAGTGATGGTCATAATTGCATGTGTCACTGCAGTGGTTATTCTAATCCTGCTTGCCATCTTCGTACATTACATCCGCATATCAAGGAGACCTCTTCCGGAACATGTTACAGGAAAAAACATCCCGAGGCAGGCCCCATCAAATCCTTCCGCCTTTAGTGGAAGGGACAGTGCCGGTACTGGAGTTGTTTCAGCTGAGGATTTTACAACTACTCGAAAAGGATCCTCATCTGAGATGATTAGTCCTACTGAGAAAATGGCAGCTGTAACTGGCTACTCCCCAACAAAGAAGAGCCATTTCTCTTGGTCACCAGAGTCTGGAGAGTCTGATACACCAGAAAATCTTGCAAGACTGAGTTCCAGGTCACCGGATCGATTGGCTGGTGAGCTGTATTTTCTTGACGATACAATTTCCTTCACACCCGAAGAACTATCTAGGGCCCCAGCTGAAGTTATGGGGAGGAGCAGCCATGGGACTTCTTACAAGGCTACCCTTGATAATGGGGTGTTACTGACTGTGAAGTGGTTGAGAGAAGGGGTGGCAAAACAGAGAAAGTATTTTGCCAAGGAGGCAAAAAAATTTGCAAATATCAGGCACCCAAATGTGGTGGGCTTGAGAGGGTACTATTGGGGACCAACACAGCATGAAAAACTCATTCTTTCAGATTACATTTCACCTGGAAGTCTTGCAAGCTTTCTATATGGTAATATCTTTTCCGACCCATTAATTAGATTTGCATAACCAACTGAAAAAGAATTGAACTGAAATGGATTTGCTTCTATTCCTATAATTGCCTTCGTACTGCCCATATTTGTTGTGTGAAAAAGAATTTTTTTGGTTAAAAAAAAGAAAAGAAATTGGTGATTATTTTTCAAAAAATGTGGTGCTTGACATTTCTTGTGCATTGCTTCCACTGATGAAGCAGTGATCAAAGAATAGGCTGCCAAAGGGTGGCATTAAAATGCGTACCATGACTTCTCCTGTGAATATGTACATGTTTGGCATGGTTGCTGATGCCCATCAGATAAATTTGTGGAGGACCACACGAGTCCCACAGCCAAAATTTATGTGTAGAATCGTTCAAGCTTGGCTCCATAGGCTGGTCAAATTAATGGATGTGGTATCCTGACAAAGTTATGTGTGGGTCAAAGCCATGCAAGAGATGTTCAGAGGAAAGGGAGAGTTATTGGGTGAGCATTAAGGAAATCTTGTTACTAGGCTACTCATTTATGAAAATGTGAAATTCCTAATGAAATCTCTTAAGGGCATGAAGCTCCATTCTTCACTAAATATTAAAGATAAATGTGTAGTGTTGAGTGTTGTATATTTTCTGTTCTTAAAGATCTGATTTATGACTTTTTTGTTAATTTTTTTGGGGCATAAGGGTATGATCATGGTACTGTTTGGTTCTTTTCCTTTTTGCTCTTGTTTCTTCTGTGTATAATTTGTGCGTACATGGATTGTGCCCTTGGCTCTTTTGGTGGGTTGCTTTATCTATAATCAATAATTAGTGTTGGTTCTATCTAGGAGCCATGCTATACTTGATGGGGAAAACTGGAAACAGACCTATAACCTTTTGACAGACTGGGGGGAAAGAAAAGAAAATTTTAAATTATATGATTCCGGGATTCCTTTACGATGGACAAACCTCATTCCCATTGTTAAGTGATTGGATATGATACTTGCCCCCCCTTTTTTATTGCACTTAATAGTGAAGATGAAAAGCTAATGTTAGTTATACAGCATATTATCTTTTGCTAGAAGACATATATTATATATATATGTTTCCCGGAAGTTAAAGATATAACTTAGGACTTCCATCTCATTAGAGAGTCCTCATTCTTAAACCATTAAGGTGATACACTGATATGTAATTCCAGGTAAAATTACTAGTTATCGTTATTTTTCTTAAATTCTCTGGCCTGATGCCACAAACTGTATTTTGAATGCTTTATTTGGTAAGTTTCCTCTGGTATCATGAAGTGGTAATTGGTACGTCACTAGCTGGTTGGCTAAGTTTCATTCGCACCTTGGAGCTGTTAATTTATCAACATCACTCATCATATTAGTCGCCGTCCTCTTCTGGATTCAATATCCACTTCTTCCTATCTGGACATGCTATATAATAAAAATAGTATAACCACTATGGAAATAAGGTTTTATTATCTTGTATTGCAAATTTGCAATTGAACATCCATTTGATCAAATCACACTTTTAGCATTTTCAGGGTCATGGCCTGACAAATCATCATCTGAGCAATATAGATTGACAGCCCTTTTTAATCATGGTGCATTGCCGTTATGTGTTAACCAGAAGTCTTCTCTAACAAATTGAAAACATGCTATTTATTTATATAGTTAATAATTGTTGCCCTTGTATGGCCCTGGTCGAGATTATATGATTCATTAGTTGAATGCTCGGGAAATCTTATGCCTTATACAACTAACTTTCATTGAAAAATTATGTTAGTCCTGTACAACAAACTTCTGAAAGAATCCCGTTTCATCCAATAACAAAAACAGAACCCATTTTTTTTCCTTCAACATACATTCTGTTAAGAACACATGTCAAATTGTATGATTAATCATATTTCTATTATTTCTTTTCCCTGTTGTCCATTATACCATGCCAGCTTTAATTGGCTTCTGCTGATGTATTTGTCATGCTTTTGTATAATATAGAAAGACACAAAATCCATTTTCACACCAAGGACTTAACCCAAATGGTATCTCCACCTCCTTCCAAATAGAAGGTTGAGAGTTTAGTCCCAAATCCCAATGAGACCCCATTTTCACCCATAATTATTGCTCATATGTTGACTCTATAGTATTTGTTCATGTTTTCTTGGTGGCTTTTATTTGGGTATCTGATAAACCAACATCTGCAGATCGACCTGGAAGAAAGGGTCCTCCACTATCCTGGGCTCAGAGGCTCAAAATAGCAGTTGATGTTGCACGTGGACTGAATTATCTCCATTTTGACCGTGCCATTCCACATGGAAACCTCAAAGCAACCAACATACTGTTAGATGGTCCTGATCTTAATGCCCGTGTTGCTGATTACTGCCTCCATCGCCTCATGACTCAAGCTGGCACCGTCGAACAGATCCTTGATGCTGGGGTGTTTGGTTATCGTGCACCAGAGCTGGCTGCTTCCAAGAAGCCAATGCCTTCCTTTAAGTCTGATGTCTACGCATTCGGAGTAATTTTGTTGGAACTTTTAACTGGCAGGTGTGCCGGTGATGTGGTTTCTGGTGAAGACGGAGGGGTTGATTTAACAGATTGGGTGCGGTTGAGGGTGGCCGAAGGTCGCGGACCAGATTGCTTTGATGCTGCATTGGCGCCAGAGATGGGAAATCCACTAGCAGAGAAGGGAATGAAAGATGTCCTTGGGATAGCTCTACGATGTATTCACTCTGTATCTGAGAGGCCAGGTATCAAAACTATATACGAGGATCTCTCATCTATATGATTAGTTAATTTTATGTCGGGGGACTTTAGATTTTTGTGGGAACCAAATGGCTCATTTGGCACCCTTTTTTTGAGTAGTTTAGACTTTAGATTAGCATTCTACTTTAAAGGTTTAATTTTATAAACCATGGTTGTAAAGTTGGGGCATATTTCAATGTATACAAACTTTCCCTTCTGTTGATGAGCTCCGATTACTGCTTCGAAATGGCTACCCCTGACTATTTTGTGTTTGAGGCATAGCTAAGGGATATGTTCGGTAAGGGTTGTAGCCCAGTATGACTTCCTCACCTTCTAAAGTAGTCGGAGGGTTCAATTTCCCACAAGGGTTGTGGATGTGTGAGTTCTCTTCTCTACCAGTTAATGTGGCTTGCAGAAGCAACTATAGCTGCCAGTTTAATTGGTGATTCATTTATGTTTGAGTTCATGAAGAACAGTGTAGCACCTCTGTTCTCCAAGACTCCAGATGTCTAGCTTGTGCCACTCCCCTTCTCAATGTGTTCGACTTAGTGCGAAAAGCTAATTGGAAAAGTATGCTATACAATATTATATATTTTCTAATTTTTCTTTAATGATGTAAAGTTGCATTTTTCTGTTGTTAGAAGTCTATTGATCCCCATAAATGAGTTTGTGTTTATGCACATGCTGAGTTACAGAAGACTCTACTTCTAGTCTCCATGTTATGAATGGGTGACATGCATGTTGTGAACTAATAACCGATCAATATGTTTTATAAAATTTTACCGATTTGATGAAGAGCAACAAATATTGGCCAAAAAAAAAATTTACATATATATGTTACTAAAAGAAATTTGAAATATGATTTTAATTTTTCATAAAGAATTGTCAATTGAAACTAATTGACTAAATGAAAGTTCCTTGACTTCTATGAAATTCAGGTAGTTATCTAACTATAAGTTAGGTTATAACTCAAAATTAATCTCTCTCCAATCTTAATTAAATCATTATGGGAATTTGAAAGTAAATGAATTCAAGATTTAAAAGGAAATAAAGTCACAATGATGCACATATTTACTCTTGTTACCCTTTCTAGTTAACTTTCCAGAGATTCTATACAACTTTATATAGGCAAAGGGACTTATAATACATGGCTTCATCAAATCATACAACTAAACAAGTGCAAGAATTTAGTGACTCAAATAGAGCGAGTTTCTTGTTAAATAATAATAATAATAAGAGATCAATTTTTTCTCATCCCAGTCGAACTCATGTTTGATTCATTTAACTCGTTTAATCCAAGGGTGCCAAAAAAAAAAAAAAAAAAAAAAACTAGAGGTAATTTTAGCCCAATCTAAAAAAAAAAAAAAAAAAAAAAAAATTGTTTAGTAGTATTAGCTCATTCCAGAATAGATTAGTCCACCCTATTATGCATTTCTGAATTCGCCCTTAACTTAATCGTTCTCGAGTTAATATTAAAGTTTAAAATGCTTAATTGGATAGGATAAGAATGGATGAGGCATTTCTTAAGTTCATATATTATATTACTTGAATTCAAAAGTGGAGAAAATGGGATTGAGAAAGAATTTTTATTTTTCAAATAAAATTGTAATGACATTATTAATCTCTTTTAAATTTATTAATTTATGTATCTAAGGGTTTAATGAGAAAAATGATAACAAGGGTCCACCGTTTGACTTCAACCCAAGATTTGGGTGTAAGTGGGGAGAGACAAGATTATTTCTGTTATATAAAATTGGAATAATATTATCAATCAAATTTAAATCTATTAATTTATATGTCTACTAAGATTCTATGATAAAATGATAACATTATCTATTTATATATGATGCGCTGTATTGTAGGTGATGTAATCAGAAATGGGATGGTTCGTAATGGCTTATTTGATTAAAGGAAGACGACATCTTTATCAAATGACCAATTGGTCATATCACCTTTTTCTCCCTTAAGAAAGACATCCTTATTCAAATGGATTGATATATATATTTTAAATTTATAATATTGGGGAAAAATTTGATTATTTTGCATTGAAAAGGCCCATACAAACAAAAGGGAGATAACTGAGAGGGCCATGGAAGCCCAATCCTCAAAAGCAGAACAAAAGGCCGTTAATAACAAAACCAAAGAATAAAATGATAAACAATTATCTTGAATCACATATAATTTAGATTTCTTAGGCCTATTTCCTTAAGAAAGTAGCAGGCTTTGCTTCATACTCGCTATCCTCTTTCATTGGGCCTGTCTAATGGGTGGGGCTTAGGCCATTTTTGTAATTATAATCTTTTCAAAAAAAATAAATAAATAAATAAATACAATTTGAATGGATCAATACGAGTACAACTTCATTCTTAGGGATTATATCCTATAACATGGTAATTCACTAATTCTTCATACGATGACATCATTATATCTTTCTGCAAATTTGGCTTGTGTAAACTTGGATGGTTATGTTTGTGTGAATTTTAAATTTACCGTTTGGATCAACTTGAGTGAGTTGGTAAAACCTTCAACCCAACTCATGCTCCCAACTTGCACTCAATTTTTTTGAACTTGTGAAAAAATTGGATTTAAAATTAGTTTTATCTTTTTATTTTTGAAAGTTTAAGCAAATACGCATATCTGATCTCCTCGTTTGGGCCGGAAGATTATAACCTCCACCTAATAACTTTGAGTTGAATTACTACTTATCATAAAAGTTTTTTAAAAAATGTGTAGGTATATATATTACTCCATAATTCTATATATAATAAATCAAGATATAAAGAATTTAGAATTTATATATAATTTATATATATAGGGTTAGGATTCTGACTAAATTTGGATTGTGCCAACATTTCAAGTTCAACCAAGCCCATCTCAGTTAAGTTTGGGTCGAAACTTTGAACTCCAAATCCCGTAACTCATAAGAATCAGGTTTGACTCTAGTCAATGGGAGAGAAAATGATGCACTCTTTAGTACTTAAAAATAAGGGTTGGTACTGAACAGGTCACGAATAGTGGTATCTCAGAAACACACACACAGAAATGGCTAATTGGAGGAGTTTTGGCGATCGTATGCTGCATTGCCGCCGCTCTATGCTCAAAACATGGTCCAATTGTTCCAATCCGGCCGCCGGATATCACCATTCCACAACTGGTGGCGGCGGCGGCGGTGGCGGTGGCGGTGGCGGTTTGCTCTCTCCCGTCCGATCATCGGAGTATTTTCTTCGTCTCGGAGGCAGATCAGTCGGAGTCTTCGAAAATGCTGCGCCCTCTTCGTCGATCCACCGTCGTTTTTCTTCTTCTGCTCAAGCAACAACGACAGATGGTGTAGTAGTAGTTGATGAAGAGGAGGCACGAGGACCCCTCACTCTCCGATCAGCACCGTGCCTGATGCTACCTGGTGGATCTCGGTTGGTTGCAGAAGTCAACGGCGAAAGGTACAATCTCGTAACAATGGACGCCAACGACGACAGCAAGTATTACCACCGCTTCTTCAGCATTAGGGAGAAGAAAGTGGTGAAGATGGAGTCGAATCTTATGCTTCCATGGCAGAGAGAACTACTTCCCCCCGACGAGTCCATCTGCTTCGGTTCGTCTCGTGGATGGCTCGCTTTCATCCACCCTCGCAATTGCTCTCTCTATCTCTTCAATCGTTTCATCAACTCCTACCTCCCTTACCTCCCTCTCCCTCCCATCCAAACACTCCCTTCTATCGTCTCAACTGTTCGATACAATGCCAACACTAACCCCTCTTCTTCTTCAACCTCATTTTCATCCCCCATTGTTACAGAGTTCACCATTTGGGATCAGTTTGCGCCCATATCTTCTGAAGAACTAAGTAAGGCGCCTTTCTTCAAGAATATTGCTTTATCCTCATCTCCATCTCCATTCCCACCCAATCATCATCTTCATCACCACCAAAACATCGATGATCTTAATGAACTTAATAAGAAGAGTACTCGCTCTTCTTCTGATTGTACTGTGATGGTCATCCAAGGTTACAAGTAAAACAAACTCGCCTTCTGCAGAATTGGGGACAACTCAAGGACTGCCTTAGATGGATCAGCCACATCATACCATGATCTCATCTATTTCAGCAAGAACCAAACTTTTTATGCTTTCTCTGACTCTTATAAATTAATAGAAGCTTGGGATTTCCGCCCCCATTCGTTTCTTCCGGCTCCGAGGAAATCTATCGTAATTTCTCATTTCCCTCCTTGGGTACACCCCATCATGGACGCACACCAATCCCGGTTGAGACGTCTTTGGAGTCCCGACCGTTATCTGGTGGAGTCTTCGGGGGAGTTGTTGATGGTTGTGAGGTACTACAGTTACAATTTTGATTCTAATGGCAACTTCCATCCTGAAATGATTTATCAGGATACAACCGGCCCCAAGAAGACGCTTCTGTTTGATGTGTATAAGCTAGACTTTGTGAACATGGACTGGGTACTCTTGCCAAGCTTAGGCGATCGGGCGTTGTTTATCGGACTTAATGAATCTGTCTCTGTCTCTGCTGCTGATTTCCCTGGGTTGGCTCTGAATTGTATATACTTCACTTCTCCTGATGCTGAAATCTTAAGAGACTCTCATGATTTGGGTGTCTTCAACTTGGAAGATAGCAGCATTACTCCAATCTATCATTATCACTTGGACGTTCAAATGCCTTCTCTCTGGAGTGTCCCGCTAAGCACTTGTTCGGAAGGCTACTAACAAATCTATGGTATGGTCCTGAAATATATATCTTATCATATATATTATATGTATCTTTAGAATGCTTTGGTTATGCCAAGTTGTTTTGGTTATATGCATTCTTATCTTGAAATAGAATGAGATACTTATATATGATAGTATATTGGTAATGTTGTTGAGTGGATACTGGAAAAAAGAGACTCAAGAGATTTGTTTGACAAGTAACTCATGTTTAGCTTGTTGTCAATTTATCAAAGAATTAGTTGGACTGCATATGGACATGACTTTTCTTCTTGACCTGTAATAGTTTAGAGTTGACCAATAGTCAACAAGATATGAAAATGTTTTATAGACAGATTGGTTTAGTGCAAGATACAAAATTATCAAAGGATAAAAATTTCTTCCACTACACAACATGGCTTGAGAAATAGGTTAGAATATAATTATCCTAACCTATAAAGAACTTTCTTTTTGATTTAAGAAAGAAAAATGATTGGTTCTCCAAAAATCGGAAGGGGAATCAATTCTCAAGCATTCAGCAGTTGTTTTATATTTCAGAATGCATTAAGTCATTTGATTTCGAAATTTGTAATGCATACCCTTCCAGCACTTAGACCCCACACAATATAGGACTCAAAATTGCTTTTTTCCTAGTGTTGTTTTCATTGATTATATTAGCATCTATTTACTCCTAATTTATTAATTTGTTTTATGCCTATATAGTGTTGCCTTGGATGTAATTTTAGCAGAATGCAATACTGCACCAGGAAGTTCTTTTATTACAACTGACTTGTCATGATTTGATTGGACCACATTAGTGATTTTGTTATGAGTTGGACCCACCTAAAATTGTTGGTTATCCTCTTTTATTTACTTATTAATCTTATAAAAGGACAGACATGGTTCAATAGGCTGACAG